ACCTCTGCCAAGGTGATAACTGTTCCATACCACAAAGCTGTATATCATGATTTACACAGAGTAGGAGACATTCCAGGACACATCCAAGGATGCTGGCCCCACATGAGAACAGAATGACACTGATCTTGCTCAGATGCCAAAAGCAGTAATCACCTATACATTCATCATGAATGGAAATCACCCAGACTAACAAAATGAGCTCCAGATAAGTTTTATTTCAGCAATTGACAATGACATCAAAGAAACATTGTTCTGCGATTTAGAAGTATTCTAGTAATTAAAGCTGTTGAGAGCATAGGGGCTAATAAATGTTCAGGGTAAGGTTCAGAGCATATTCTAACTCCTGTCACACACTTTTATTCCTGCCTATTTCTGATTGGTTTTATTGTGAATGTGAATACAATTTTATTTATAAGCTGATTAATTTATGTCTAATTAAATGTAAATACATGAAAGGGGAGACTTATTTTCAGCAGAGCTGTTTAACTTATCTGTTTTCATGGGACAAAAATAACCATGCAAAATGAGAGAGGCTCTGGTTTTCTTTCAATAATTATTTCTGATGACTATTTTATGTTACACATTTACTAAACTCAGAACACATAGCCATCATGCAAACAAAACTTCTGCTTAGTTTTTTATTTCCATGATTTGAAAATATAAATTTATCTGCAATTCATAAAACCTAATGAGTTTCTCAACATACTCATTTCATATACTTGAATGGTGTAAAAGAGGATGTTTATTTTTATAAAGTGAAAAGTTTGATGAAATTGGCATCAAACTTTTGTACACTTATCTGAAAAGCAAGCTTTAACAGGCTGACTACAGCAGCTTGAAGTCCTTTGCTTTCTATTATTCATAAGACTTCAGCACCCATTGTCACCTGGGCATTTGTATCAACAAGCATATTGATCAGTCTGAGCTTTGCTCTCCTTTGAGGGCAGATCTCTTTTTAGACTGCTGAGCTTTTGAATCTTTCCATGACTGTATCACTGTGCAATTTCACTTGAACCCCAAGGGCAGGTAAGAAGAATAAATAGGGAGTTTGCTAAGCAGTACAAGGTACAACAAAGCAGAAAAATCTTACTTAACTATATGTATATCTTGACATTTTGATTCTCTTATCAAACGATGTGTTTTTAAAGAGATGTGCTTTAAAAACTATGAGTTCTCAGCCCTTCAGCAGTCTTCATTCCCTTGCATCTTTTGAGCACCCTTCACTCCTGTTTTAAAAACCCAAATGCTCTTGTTGAGTTGACCTGTTCATTTTATAACAAATAACCTATAGCAATAAGGCTGCAAGATAATTTGCATTTAGATTATGTCTCCTTTGTAGGGTTATCACAACACTGGAGGTATGAATTTCATAGTTCCACATCTCATAGAAGTTCTTAGTAGGGCCTGTGCTCTTACAACAAATGATAAAGACAAATGCACTTCTGTGTAAAAGATAGAAGATAGATAGACTGATAGATAGACATACTGAGTGAAGAAAACTCATATCATAACTCATGGAATAGTGATAAAATAACTTTCAACATTTGAAAATATTACTTCAGTTATAATCATTAGTACTATCTTGGTCTGTACGTAGGACAAATCAGCCTCTCCAATGATGATTACCTTCCTGAATCATAATCTGTATCTGTTTTTTTAATACATGTTGTTGTTTCCCAAGACAACTAAGAACTGGATATTAGGAACTAGCATAGAAATCTAGAATATTAAAATGAACTATTTCAAACACAAACAAAAGAGACAGCAGAAAATTACAGAATCCATTTAAACAACAAGATGTCAGCATATGGACAAATTAATTTATTAGATTTCAATAACTGTATTTGGAATCTCCTTTTAATTGCACCTGGGATGACAAAACATGATGCAGCTGGATGGCAATGACGTACAGACTGGTGACAAAATTTTCCAAACATGACATTCCTCCCCCAAGAGCCAGATTGACAGAAGTGCGGCCCAACGAAAGGACTACTTTACTTCTTTTCCATCACATACTTCTCTTTTCTGAGCAAACTTGGCATTTAAAAAAAGAAAGCATCAATGGCAGCTTTTTAAGAAGGGCTTAATTTGTTAGCTCACACTAGTTTAATTCCTGTTTATGTTTCTATACCCTAAAGGAGGTAGATGATAAGGTTTTGGGGTAAGAAGAATTGGATAAAACTTCACATTGCAATACCATAATAGGCTCATTAAATGTCAAGTTGATTTGGTAATTAATTAACCCTTTCGGTACCTTTGTAAGGTACTGCTGATTTTCTGCAGCTTTCTGTTGCTCTTTTTTCTTCAGATGAGGAAAATGAGAACTTATGAGTTGAAGTATGCTTCCAGGCACACTCTTCAGTGAGATCCCCACATGTTATCAGGGTGTCTAAGGTAGAACACAACTTATTCTAAAAGAGAGGGAGTTTTCAGCAGAGCATTTGGTTGGAAACCCTAACTCCATGAAAAATTTTCTCATGTAGCCTTTCCCTGCTTCAGTCTACTGGTCTGACCAGCTCATGACAAACCTCTGTGTCTCACGGGGGCTTCAGAGAAGTGGGGGTGAAGGACACAAGCAACTCTTCGTCCTAGGATTTAAAGGTTATCAGCTTCACATTTCTTTTAATTAGTTATTGTGTGGATATGTGCAGGGAGTGTGGCTGGAGAAAAATGTTATTGCTTTTGATTCATTATTACTTTGAATTTTTATTTTAATTAATGTCAATAGCACTTAGAATTTTTAGAAGGAATTCTTTCAAGATGCATTTAAAGCAAAAAAAAAAAATCTAAAATTATTTCAATGGAACTATAATGCGGAAAAAAAAACAATAAACATTTTGTGACAGCCTCTGTCTTAAGGAGGTGACATCAAAAGAGATGAGGCAGTAGGAAAAGAAGGCTATGTGTAACTTTTACATGTTTCACTACCGGCACAGATACAAGGTTGAGTTCTAAAGAAAGCTTTTGTTAAGTCGACCCAGCATGGCTATAACAGAGATGAAGACACTGAGGCAGATGTGGGGAGGGTAAGTCTTCACTGACAAGAAAAAGAGCTTGTAATTCCAGTTTAAACACTATAGCTGGAAGTCACCTTGCCCATATTAGAGGTAACTAGTGGGTCAAAGGCAATGAGGACAGTTACTCCGTTCACTGTGATTTGCCTGTGACTATACCACATCAGTAACTATTTTGACAAATGAGGGAGGACTGTATTATGACAAGATCAAGGGTGAAATGGAATGGCTACAACTGTAAACAGCATAATCATTTACCTTAATGAAAGGAAAAGGGAGTTGTGGTAATTAAATGGAGTCAGCACTCTTCTTTAATATGGGATGAACTGATGCATGCAATGAGAAAGGGAAGAGCACGCAGACAGTAAGGAGGTAAGAAAAATGAAGGGAGGCAAACAGCAGGTAATCAAGGAGATGGAATTCAATGGGTCTTCTCTGCAGGAGTGAGGAAAATTCAGTGCCTGATACAGAAAGAGTAAGCAAGAGGAACACTGAAGGTAGGCACAACAGTTGCATTACAGGTAATTTTTTTCTTGGAATAAAATGCAAGAGCTTTGCAGAGAAAAAGACAGGATTGAGGAGTGACAAAACATCTACGATTATGGATACAGCATTCATTTACTTTGCAGAATAAAGAAATTTACTTAGCAATAATATACGTGACAGGAATTGGGTGCAGATGAGCTTAGCTGCTCAGATGAGCCTTGTAATAGGGAAAAAGCATCCAAACTGCCATGCAGAAGTAACCCAAAGAGAGACCCGATTTCCAAAGGAAGAAAGGGAAAGAAGCAGCATGCTGAAAGCTACATGGGCAACAGCAAGCTAGAGGAAACTAAAAGGCTAAGTAGGAGAAGCCAAACTGCATGACTTTGTCCCCAGTTTGAAGTGACAGTGGCTGAAAAGCAAGGACACAAGTCCAGCCTAGAGACAGTACTTGTGAAGATCAGGAATGTTTGGGTCTAGACAGCCATCACAGGACCAGAGCAGGACAGGAGGCTGAGCAGGCTGACAGGGTGTAGAACCCAAGAAGATAAGGGGCTAATGTGTATGTCTCAAGAACAGAGAGCTGGATGGCTGTGAGAGCCAAACAAGGATTGTTGATACTAACAGACAAGGATTGTTGGTACTAACATGCTGTGAGAAAGAACAAGATGTGACTGAAGAAGGGGAACATGCGGAGGTAGGACAGCACTTTTCTGGGACAAACACCCTTGTTCTGGAGATAAGCACGACACAGTACTGTGCAAGTCCAGGAACGAGGCCAAGAAATGGGCAAGGACTGTAGGGGGTGATCAAGACCACCCAAGATGCCCAAAGTCCTCCAACCCATTGCCAGAAAGATCTGAAAGAACAGACTGCACATGACGACTGATTTACATGGAAAGCAAGAAACCTATCTTCAGGGTCAGGAAACCTATCCATGAAATGGTATCCACACAAGCCAGGGCAGTACCTCCAGGACTCTGAACATCTTTTTCTCTTTCTCCCTCCCTTCCTTCATTTCTTTCTCTTTCTCCCCTCTCCCACTCTCATTTCATCTCTTCCTTTCTCTCTTCACTTTCAGCCTTCCCCTTTATCCAAAACCCACTGCCATATACTTATATAGCAGGTCAGGGGCTAACACCCCGATTTCCATGCGGAGTGTGCAATTTACTAATAAAACGTTGATTGTTTGCAGACCCTCTTGACTCCTGTCGCTCCTTTTGACCACGAGCCTTTGCGAATCTCGGGTGTTCCCTTCCCCTTAAGGGTAGGACGTCACACAGGCCCAAGCCACACCGTAGCTACCAGAACCTTCTGCCACCGCTCAGCAGCAAGACAAGACAACCCCCCTGGCCCACCCCAGGGGGCGGTGCCGCCATTACAGGCACCGCCCCGGCCCCCTCCCCTCGCGCTGCGCCTGCGCGCTGGAGGCGCGGCTAGGGCTGGGGGCCGGCCGGGACGGCCACTCCGCGGGGCCGTCGTGCCGCCGTTCTGCCTCCTGCCTTCGCCTACTCCTCTTCCTCCGCTTCCTGCTCCTCCTGCTCCTCCTGCTCCTCCTCCTCGCCGCCGGAGCAGCAACTGGCGCTGTTTCTGATGCAGCCGTGCGGCGGTGGGGAGGCGGCGGCCGGCACGGCGGGGGTGGCGCTGCAGCCGGTGCCGAGCGCCGACGCGCCGATGCCGCCCTCCTCTAGCGGCGGTTTCATGGTGCTGTACGGGCTGGGGGGGCCCGGCGGGGCCGAGGCGAGGGAGGAGGAGGCCGAGGCTGAGGCCGAGGCGGCGGGCGGAGAGAGTACGGCCAGCCTGGAGGAGCTGGAGGAGGAGGAGGCAGAGGCAGGGGCAGCGGCGGCTTCGAGCGGCGAGGCGGCGGCGGGCGGCGAGTGCAAGAGCTGTACGTACCAGGGCTGCAGCGAGACCACCACGCAGGTGGTGAAGCAGCGCAAGCCCTGGATGTGCAAGCGGCACCGCAACAAGATCTACAAAGACAAGTACAAGCGCAAGAAGAGCGACCAGGCCCTGGGGGGCGGCGGGGCGGCGGCGGCCGCCGGGGGAGGCACCCGGGCCGAGGTGAGGTGGGGGGCGCGGCGGGGCCTCGGTCGGGATACCCTCGGCGGTGCCCGGGGTCTGCGGCTTCCCTGGAAAATTGGATTCTGTCAGAACCGGGAATGGGACCTTGCTGTCCAGGGGAAAGGGAAGAAATCTAGGGCGGTCCTACAGCTCACTCGTCCTCCAGTTTGCCCGAGCAAACCCCATTTCTTCTTAGCCCTCTGACGTAAATTGTAATAGTGTACAGCTAGACCAGGCCATTCCAGGGAAAGAATTCTTGCTAGAGGATGCTTCGCTGTGTAGCATATGTGTTTTTTCATTGGAGGAAAGGTGAAAGTATAGATCTAAAAGAGACTTCTTGTCAGATTTCTTGTTCAGTTGATGCTGAAATGAGTTTTAAAGTCACAAAGGCCGTTAGATATCAGGTTATACTGTATATAAAAATCAGGTGTGTAGGTTTTTCAACATGCTTTTCATTTTTTTTTTTTTTTGCTTTGTTTTGTTTGGGTTTTTTTTTTTTAATTAAATGGCAATTATGTATTTAGACCACTGCTAGTGGCTACTTCTCTTTTAGATAAGGGAACAGAAGCTGCACACAGTATTCAGTCAAGATCAGAATGAATTCTAGATTTATATACTGGCATGACTTCCCCTCTTCTCTCTTTCTTCTCTGATAGGTCTTCCTGCTCAGTTTGTGAGCTGCGTCTACAGGACTACTTCCTGCTCAGTCTACAGAAATACTTGTTCTAGTTCAGAAAAAAAGACAGTGTGGGAAAAGGGCAAAATTGTAGCATTTTGCATAGTGATGAGTTAAAATCTTTTGATCTGTAACATGAAATAGTGATTATTGCATCTTGGAAGAAAATGGGCTTAGTTTTCCCAGTTTTTGCAAATGCAGGTTGCTTTGAATGTTATGAAATTAAGGCCTCAACTTGCAGAAGAAAGCAGGATATTTAGTCCTAAACTTAGTATGCTTTTTTGCAGTGGTCTCTGTTAAGACTTCACAAGGTACTGTTGTCTTGTGGGGTGAGAGTTAGGTTCCCGGTAGATGTTTTCATTTTTCACATCTGTGGACAGAATTGAAGTGAAAGATACTGGGATACTTTGTTGTTGTTCTTTTGATCCCTTTCAGATAAATGGAAGTATCAGTAAGTTATGAATTTAATACATACAGAATTCAACATAGGTTTAAATTTTCCAAACCATTTATATTTTCTTCAGAGCAGATTGTGGAGCCATATTGTATTCATATGTCTAATTCAGATGACTGGTGATTGTACAACAAACAGAATAAACTTGCAAAGAGAAAAGCCTGGGGCTTTAGCAAGTTCATAATAGTTTTGTGAAGTATGTTTTGTGTTGGTACTATTTTGTATTGTCAATTTTGTATTTTCATTCCTGCCCATTTGTAAATAGTAAATATCACTGACTTTCAGGAGCTGCAGATTGAGCTGTTGTGAGTTACTTCTTTTTTAAGAAATGCAATCAAATAAAATCAAGGCTACAACTAGCCCTAGTAACCTGGTTATTTTTGCAGTGCGGAAGACTTAAATCACCTATTTTGCTTCACTGTGACTGATGAAAGGGTGTGGAAAGAAGAGGCCGGGTCTTGAATAGATACACTTCCACTCCTATGCTGTTACTTTCCTCTGCACATTAGCAGGCAAATACTCTTTACCCTTGGGATTTTCTCTGTATCATTATATCAGAGTTGATAGTCTCACTTTTTCTTTTTTTTTTTCTTTCATGTGCAGGATAGTGTTGAAGGTTCAGTTCCTGTTACAAAGCAGAGAACAGGATCCATTGGAGATCGCCCAGCAAGACCTACTCTTTTAGAGCAAGTATTGAATAAAAAAAGGCTGGTAAGTCTTGTTTCCCTAGAGGTTTTGAACTCAAAAATTGTTACACAAGCTTTATTTACTTGTCATTGATGTGAAAGAAGATCAGTTTAAGATTGTACACTACATGTGTATATTTTCAAATTTGAAATACACTGCAGAGCAGATGTGTGCCTCAGCCTCTCTGTGAAGAATACTAAGATAACTGAATTTAGTGATCACTGCCACATTAACTGAGGTTGTGTATTTTGGTAGTAATAAACAGTCATGGTTATTACTTCAGGGTAAATAGTGCTTATGTATAACTGAGGTGGTTTTAGCTTGTTAAACCAAAGCTTTAGGTAGAACAATGTGTGGACTTTAGGTCTGATGTAAGCTGGAATTACTGTGGTGTGTTTTAGAAATTGTAGATGTATCATATCACACTTAAAATTGTGTATGTATGTGTTGATAAAGTGTAAACAGTATGACTCATTTGTAGAGTGCATGAATGATATGTGTTCTAGGTTTTTAAACACTTTGTTGCTCCTTTAAAGAATTAAGCCCAGTGAAGGGAAATAATTCAGTACTTACAGTTTCTTTGGCTTTTCCATCACAACTTTCATTCCTTGTGGCTGGACTGCTGTTTTGAAATGTTGGGAAATTCTGAACACTGAGTGAACACAGCATTATAGAATATCCCAAGTTGGAAGGAACCCATACGGATCATTGAGTCCAACTCCCTGCTCCTCGCAGGTCTACCTAAAACTAAAACATGTGGCTAATACTCCAGATGCTTGAACTCTTGATAGGAACATGATCTTTGCTGCAGAATTACAGTATTTTGTTTGTTTATTATACTCTTTTTGGGCTATCTGCGATGGGAAATGTAGAAATTGGCTCAAAACTGAAGACATAGTTGAGAGGTGTCTGTTTTCAGTGTGTCAGTAGATTATTCCTGCTTGTTATGTTTTTCTTTGCAATACTATATATTTATTACATTCTGAACCTGCTTTCAGGATGTGTACTAATGCTGCTTCTGCTTACCTGATGGTCTTGAAACAGTTCTTAGATGTCTTGTGAGCGTGTTTTGTAATTCTTCATTTGACTGAACTCTCATTTGGATGGATGTGCTGGTTGTGGCTGGGATACAGTTAATTTTTTTCACAGTAGCTTGTATGGGACTGCACTTTGGGTTTGTGATGAGAAGAGTGTTGATAATGCAGTGTTTAGTTATTGCTGAACAGTGCTTCATTCCACAGCAGGGAGGGAGCGGGGGAGGGAGTGAGCAGAGGCTGATGCTTAAGTTGTCTGCCAGGGTTAAAGAACAGCCAGGAGTAATGCGCAAATTAATTTAATGGAAAAATATTATAATATAAATATAATATAGCTATTTAACGTATGTGAGTTCTCTAAAGTAAAGTTCTCTTTTTCTTTCTTTTAGTCCCTACTCAGAAGCCCAGAAGTAGTGCAGTTTCTACAGAAACAACAGCAACTGTTAAGTCAACAAGCTTTGGAACAAAGGCAACAACAGTTTCAAGGAGCCCCTGGGTAATGAGAACAGATCAATGACCTTCAGATGAGTCTGGTGCTGAAGGAGGGGATAGGATCTGTGTTTTGTATAAATACAAAGAATTTCAGTGTTCAAAGGAAAATGAAAGTTGCTGTTGTTATGTTTCTTGTTTGCACTTTTGAGGTTTTGAGCTGCTTGGTGTCTGCAAACTTGTGAGCAAATCATAGAATCATAGATTGGACTGGGTTATGTTAAGGAGTCTTCCCAATCTGACCATTCACCAGACTCTGGCAGTCACACTCCCAGTGCCAGAGACTTTAACTGCTGGGACCAAAGCCCCTTCACTGTGGGTGGCTCCAGTGAGCCCTGCTTGACTCCCTACAAACCCCACTCACATGCAGTCAGACCAGATTTCCTTACAGGTTCGACCACAGGTTTCCTATAGCAGAGTCTCAGATGTCTCATTCCATAAAGCAATTTATTCACAGCGCAGTCACATAGAAACAGCCCCAGCTGGTGCCTCTGAGGAGGGGCCTCCAACAGAGGAACCCCTGAGCTTTTATGTCCTCATGGTCTAAGTGCCAGCAAGTCTTGCTCTTCCTCCTGAATCTTTGGCTCCTGATGTGGCTCTATGTCCACTCACATGGCTAGTGCCATTGGACTTCATGCCCTTTGTTATGCAAAGGGTTGGCTTGGCAGTTCGTGACTTCTTGTCTCTCTTGGCTCCTAGCTAAAGCTCAATTTGCATCTCAGTCTGCATCTCTGAATTGCAGCTTGCAAACCGAGCTACCTGCACCAGATGTGTTCCTCAACAGTTGCAAGGGACCTTAAAGCTTGCTCACAGGAGAGGTGCTCCATCCCTCTAATCACAGCTTGGTGGCCCTCCTCTGGACTTGCTCTAACAGGTGGATTGGGAGCCCCAGAACTGGACACAGTACTCCAAGGTCTCACCAGAGCGAAGTAGACGGGCTGTAATGGGTTGACCTTAGCTAGACGTATGGATGTATACATTTGCATTAACTGCTATCCCCTGTCCTTTTACAGATAGCTATTATTTTCCCATGGGCTTCCTCTACCCCTCCAGATGTTCAAAACCGGGCCATGACTCATTCCATCAGGATGTGTGGTCAGGATAGAAGCAGCAGCACACTCAATCATTGGGCACCACCATAGCCCAGCTGGGGGCATTGTCACACTCTCCTTGTGCCTCGCAAAATTCACTCTTCATTGCTTCATGTCATTCCTGCTACTTTACTTCCTGTAACATACAATTTACACCACAGATTATTTTTCCCCCAAGGTTAAATCTCCTTGAGGCACACACCGGGTCTTCCCATCCTTCTGCATTACCTGTCAAGTACACCTGGGTCCTTGAGCAAAGACAATCCCACAAATGGGTTTGCTTTTCCCATGAGAGAAAAAATCCACACTCAGCTTCCCTGTGTGTAGTATGGGGAGCTTACCTCCCCCCTCAGTATGTTTGGGCAGGACCAGGGTGGTTAGCAAATCCTCTAGTGTAAATCAATCAGCCAGTTGACTTCTGCTAAATAAGCATCTCGGTGCTTCCATGCCTCATTGCCTAATGCTCTTAACAGTCTGTAGTAGTCCCTTATACCTCTCAGTTTTTCTAGAGGCTTACAGGAGATGGGATATATGCACTCATGTGAGTGACATGTTTCTTTGTCCCAGAGTTTATAAGGTTATTTTGAAAGTGAGCCTGTCTGATTCAGTTCTTTCTAGAGTACCATGTTGCTACAAAATGTACCTTTCAAGGCCTAAGACAGTGTTTTGAGCAGTGGTCTGGTTTACAGGGTTGCTTCCAGCCAACCAGTGGTTGCCTTCACTGTGGTGAGTATGTAACACTTACCTTGGTGTCAGTTTTCCAGGCCTCACCATATCAGAAATCCCAGTTCCTCAATTCCAGGGAAATTTTACATGTGCAGCTCTCTTGATTGTAGCACATTTCTCATTCACGAATGATCTGTGTGATGGACTCCATGGTCACTACCACCCCTGATCATGAGCCCATTGTTGCATCTCTTCCTAGATAATCCTGATCATAGAATTAACTGGGTTGGAAGAGACCTCTGAGATCATCAAGTCCAACCCTTGATCCAACCCCACTGTGATTACTAGATTATGGCATTCAGTGCCACATCCAGCCTCATCTTAAAAACCTCCAAGGACAGTGAATCCACCACCTCTCTGGGCAGGCCATTCCAATGCCTGATCGCTCTCTCTGTAAAGAACTTCTTTCTAATATCCAACCTAAACCTCCCCTGGCACAGCTTAAGCCCATGCCCTCTTGTCTTAATGATGTTTCATGGGCTCATTGGGCTGTAAATAGCTCACCCTTCTCCCAGTCTAGTTCTACCTATGCTATTTCAATTTTGGCAGCCTTATCTACCTGCTTATTGTTCTGATGTTCTTCAGTGGCATGACTTCTGGGCAGTAAGCATCTACCTGATGTACCTACAGATCATGCAGCAATGTCCTGCCACAATGCAGCAGCCCAGACGGGTTTACCCCTGCATTGCCAGTTGGCTGCCTTCCACTGCTGTAGCCATACTCACAGGGCATTAGCCACCATCCAGGAGTCAGTACAGAGGTATAGTACAGGCCGTTTTTCTTGTTCAGCAATCTTAAGGGCTAGTGAAAGCAAACTGTGGTCTGCACTCTGCTGCCAAAGGAATTGAGAAAAATGCTTTGGCAGTGTCAGCTGTAGCACACCATTTGGCTGCCTTCAGCTGACAATGGAACTCTTAACATGTCTAGCACAGCAGTGCTCAGTGTTGCCTTATTCAGGCCACGATAGTCTACTGTTAACTTCCACACTCCATCAGACTTTTGCACTGGTCACAATGGGACCATTAAAAGGCAAGGGAGTCCTGCTGATCATGTCTTGGCTTTCCATTTGATGAATCAGCTCATGGATGGGAGCCAGGGTTCATGCAATATTGCCACCAGTGCACTGTCCTGGTAGCAACTGGCACTCACGGGTCTTAAACTTGCAGCAATCCCACGATGAAGAGACCTTCTGAGAGGCCAGCTGCTTGATCTTCTCTGTATTCACAGTAGCTACATCAGAAGCCCATTGGTACTCCTTTGGACACTTGAAATACCCTCTCCTGAGGTAATCAAGGCCAAGGATACAAGGGACCTCTGGGCCAATCACAATAAGGTGCTTTTCCCACTTGTCACCTGCTGTGCTCACCTCAGCCTCTAATACAGAAAATTTTTGCATCCTCCTGTCACTCCAGAGTTCCAGATGGGTTCTCCACTCTTGTGTCTTGATGGCATCAGTGTGCACTGTGCACCAGTATCCACCAAAGCTCTATACCTCTGTAGATCTGATGTGCCAGGCCATCGAATCCACACAGTCGAGTAGGCCTTGTCATCCCTTTCCTCCTTCTGGCTGAAGGTAGGGACCTTCTATTCCTGTTCCTGGTCAGAGTATTCACTGTCTGACCTTTGTGATGCCAGATCAGAAGTCCCCTCTGCAGGATCAAAGGAGTTGATTTCAGTCCTTTCACATCTGGGAGGTTGCTGATTGCTTTCTTGGGTCTCTGTGGCAACTACATTGCCAGCCTTCTTGGGTAACTCCTTCTTAACAGTTCTCTTTCCTCTCAATTCACATACCTGGGTTTCCAGCTTAAAGGTGGGTTCACCATCCCCCTTCCTTAAGTTTTCCCCGTGGTCGTGCAGAAAGAACCAGAGTTCACCACGTGGCCTGCGCTTGAGGCTTCCTTACCCTCGGACCTGGGAGAGGATGATCTCTTGGGCTGCCCCTGAGGGCTCAGGTGCTGGCCCATGGGAGGGAGGAAGTGCCCAGGGTTTATTCTATGTTATGGAGCCAGGAGAACATCACCTCTACAGGTGGATCCTTCTTCAATTAATATAATGCCACCAGGCTGTTGGAATATGATGCAGGGGCATTTTGAACCACCTTCCTCCACCTGGCCTTTGTGCAAGGAACATCCTTTTAATCTTTAGGGGCGTCATCCCGTCCTAGATTACTATAGATGATTTCTCATTAGCACTGCTCATTCTCACAAGTACTGGATACCTTCATCAGGAGTGCTCCACTTTCTTGGGAAGTTCACAAGATCTTTCTTAAATGGATATCTTGCTCTCAAACTTGAGGTGAGCCATCTCCTGAGACTGCAAATTGCTGCCCCTTTTCCAATGCCTCTTTCAATTACCCGATCTCTAGCAAGGGATCCCAGCTGTTTGGCTTCATGACCTCCTAATTGCTGACTGTAGCCCCTGTTATTCCAGCATCAACATACAGAATCACCTCCCTTGACCTGCTGGCCATGCTCCTTTTGATGTAGCCCAGGAGACAGTTGCCATCTCACGTCCAGCCTCTCATTCACCAGCCCCCGAAGTCCTTCATGACAGGGCTGCTCTTGATCATCCCCCAGCCTGTACTGATACCAGGGGCTGCCCTGATCCAGGTGCAGCACTTTGCACTTGGTCTTGTTCAACAGCGTGATATTCCCATGGGCCCACTTCTTGAATCCACAGCTTGTCCAGATCCCTCTGCGTGGCATCCCATCCCTCAGTTGTGTCAACCACACTGGAGGAGTCTATTTTTTGATTATTTTTAAAACTTCATGTTACTGTTTAATTTTTTAATAAAAAATTGTTTATAGTAGTAATGTTTAGCTGTATACCCTTTTTCCCACCTAAGTCTTCCATTTAATTTAACCTTTTTTTATATAAAGATTTACAGTTAAATCAGTCTTTGATGACAATCATTGAAGGAAATCAGTTACTTTCTATGGAAGTTGAGAAATAACGTTCTGAAGTTGAGCCAGTCCAGTGGCATGACTTAACAGTAATTGCTCAGGGATATGAGAAATGTCCAGCAGAATCTTGCACTAAAGGCAAAGAGAACATGCCATCAAGAAGTCAATCCAGTGGCTCAGAAAAGTGTAAGTAGGTGATCCTCCTGCTATCTGTTCATTATCTGCAAGTTGAGTAGGTTTGAAATGCTTCCTGTTCAAAGCATGTAAAAGAATTTGCATTTAAAAGTTCCAAGACAGATAAATGGCAAAAAGCTTTATAGAAGAATTAGGTGGAACGTATGAAACTGGAGTTAGATCTTGTTTTGTGGAGTTATTTGTAATGGCCAACTTCTTATATGT